CACAAGCTAATACGATAATCCTGTTAGCACACCGGTAACTCCTAGTGAAATATTTTTGGTGCTGATTGCTTGCTTGCAGTACGTAATATCTCCTGGCAAGATCGCCAATTGTAGTAGTGGGTATATCAAGAATTTAAAGAAATTCAATTTAATATTTAATATTGTATAAAATTCGGTTGTTAACAGTTGCAAGAAAAATATTTGAAGTAATCTAATTTTCTCTTTGATGTTTGAACTACAAAATCACTTAAATATAAAATTTTTAAAATTACAAAGTTGAAATGAACACAGTACAATAAAAGGTAATAACACAAATACAAACCCTACAATAATTGTAAGGTTTGGATTTGTGTTATTACCTTTTATTGTACTGTGTTCGTTTCAACTTTGTAATTTTGGAAATTTTAGATTTATGTGATTTTTGTAGTTCGTCAATCAAATAGAAAATTTTCATTATTATTCAAATATTTTTATACAATATTAAAAATTGAATTGAATTTAGATAATTCGCCGACCACCGTTTGAGTCCTCGTGGGAGAGGAAGCCTCAAGTCTCTATTAGCGTGGAGTGACTGGCGGTGTCACACGCCTTTGACAGATCCAACGCTGCTAGGACTGACCTCACAGGGGCGGTTTTGGTTTAGGCCGCGTGTTATCTGAGTGTTTATGGCGTTAAGTGCTGTTATTGTGCTGTCCAACTTTTGATGAAAGGGGGCTAATAGGGGAAATTTCCGAGTCGGTCGAGAAATCGATGTTAAGAATTTCAATTACACTCTTGGTATTGTGATTATACTTCCGGAAAAAAGAGACCTAAGTGTACAGTGTTATGGGGTGCACTCATGGGCGTAGCCAGGTAGGGGCAGGGGGGTGCTCGAGCCCCCCCTAACTTTCAAATTTTCCTTATATATATATAAAATAGTACCCTGAAATGCCAGCTTAATAGGGTCGATGGGCTACAAAATTGCATACTCAAAAAAATTCTAAACAAAATTTAAAAAATTTGTAAATTTGTAATTTACGCATTTTATTCAGCTTCGGTGTAAAAAAAAATTCATAACTCAAATTATTGTAGAGTGCACCCCGAAATACTATACTTAAATATTGCGCAATACTCAGAGCTACCATTGTGATTTTTTGTGTGTGTATGTATGATATTTTCGATAAAACTTTTTAACTGCGTACGCATGTTCACTTTGAGCAAATTTTGAGCGCTGGTTGGGAAAATCTTCGGTAGATTGGTAAAATCGGCAAAATTTGGGCCCAATTGGAAGAAACTTGTGGCTCTAATCGGGCAACCTCAAAAACTTTCCAGCAAGGAAACTTTATCATAATGGGCAACAATTTTAGTGCCCTCAACTGGCACGAAAATCTGCTAGCATCATACAAGTGCATTTTCAGAAAAAAAAATCATAGCTCGAAAACGACGAATTTCAGCATATTGCTACTCATACTGAAAATAGTTTATACTCTTCCCTAATAGACAAAAAAATTTGAGAGAAAAAAATATGGCCATTTAAAAAAAAATCAATTAAACAAATTTTTTATAAACAGTAATTAGTTATTAATAAACAATTACTGATGTTTAGTTCACTAGATCGATTCAGTAATGATTATCTGCAATTTAAAAAAAAAATCCTTAAAATCCTAAAAAAGTTGTTATTAAGAGAGGGAAAAAAAAGTTCGTACTCAAAAAGAAAAAAATGCATTATTCGAAAAATTCGAATTTCTGAGCAAAAAGAAAAAATACGTGTCTCCTTAAATTGTTCAGGGAACAATCGCTGATCGCAAACTTAAATTCAGTTTTCCTCGGCCTGGGTGATTTGATATGGAAAGACCCTAATATAAATTTAATGTTAAATAATATACATTTTTGCATTCGCGTAAATTGTAAATGGATAAGCCCTTCTAGAAGGCATGCAAGGAAGCACTTTTTTCCGCCCTTTATGGGCCTCTTAGAATGGCTTGTGCACAAGCGTGATCGAGTATAAAAAGTTGAGAGCATTTAAGTCTCGCTGTCATCCTGTTTCTGTCCGGATGTGTGACAAGTGCGAAGTTTTGTCCACTGCTTCCTACTTGTCCCTGATCACAAAAACAGGCCTAGCGTGGTGCCGGCAAGCGATTTGCGAGGATTTGCTCCCTACTTTAATTACCATTGCGGTTATGTGCGCGGAGAAGGGTGATTTTGTTAAACAAAAGGCCAGAAAGACCCATTTAATTTTAGAGTTCATGAATGCCATTGCGGGATGCCAATATCGGGCAGCCGTCAGCTCATAACTCTTCTTGGTGGCTGAAAAAGTTTCGAGATGTTAATCATTAGTGAGATGGCTTCCTGTTTTGATCTCAAAAGACTACTGAGGACTTTTGACCACTCAGATGCCTCGCCGTTTAGCGTGTTTGTCTCTATTGGTATCTTCGCTACTGAAAAAAGGAACGCAATCGGTACCAAGAGCTCTCTTTGTTTACTGGTTTCTCGTGATACATTGATGGAACGACTGTCCCTGACTACCACATGGCCAGATATGATGTCCTGGGCGTCCTAGGACCCACCTAAGCTCTCGGGAATGAGCAAAGAACTACCTGACCTGTTGGGGTCCTTCTGAAAGGATTGCCTTTCCCTTCCAAAGGTTCTGTCCCAGTTGAAATGACCCGGGCTCAAAGAAGACCGTCGAACACTTCCTGTGCGAGTATCCATCCCTCGGAAGGATGAGGCTAAATACACTCGGTGGTAGTTTGCACGAGTTGTAGAATCAAAATGTCAAACCTGCTAATTGATAGTCATCAGGGTGACAAACCACTTAAACCAACCTTCTCTTCTAACCCCCTCGGTCCGCAGGTTTTTGGAAGCTTTTACCTTTCAGATGCAACAAGCCATCAGATTCACCGCTAATGAAAGTAGCGATCAGAAAAACGGAAAAATCGCATATGCGGAAAATGCTCTTCATTTTGATCATTTTGAGCAACTTTGCTTAAGAAACTATGGGTGTAAAACCAATTTCGAGCCAGCGAATTTTAAGGAGAAGTTTCATATCAGGTAATACAAAATTTTGTGTAAGGGTACATAAAGAAGTTTATTTTTTTAATACATAAATGATAAGAATTGAAAAAGAAATCGATTCAGCGGTGACTGCCTGTCCGTCCGTCTGTGCACGCGATAACTTGATTAAATATTTAGATATTTTAACGCAATTTGGTATGTGTCCTTTTTAGCGTAGGACGCATGGTATAGAAAAAAGGCAAAATCGGACAATAACCACGCCTACCTTCCATATAACGGTAGTTTTCAGAAATACGAAAACTGCGATATTTTAGTAACTACTCATTCTTATTAACTCAAAATTAATTATTAAATGATTTATAAACGACAAATAATAATATTATAAATTTTTGGAAAATAGGCGTAGCCAGGTCTACTTATGATTACATGTGTATATCTTGGTAACCGCTTCACCAATTTCTCCCAAACTTGACACAGTTGTTGACCTTGGTACAACATACCAAACGACTGAAAATTTTTAAAATCAGTTCATATCCACGCCCGCATCCCGTATAACAGTTATTTAGAAAAATACGAAATCTTCGATAAATCAATAAATACTGTAGCTAGTTTACCAAAAATTAATGTTTGCAATAACTCTTTAGCAAAAAATACATTTATAATAAAATTTTGGAAAATGGGCCTGGCACCGCCCACTCATGACCACATCTGAATCTCGGTAACCGTTCGATCAATTTGTACCAAACTCGGTATGATTATTGTGCTTGCCACATAAAAGCATAACATTTAAAATTATTGAATCGAACTAAAATTACGCCTTGCATGGTTTCAGCAAAAAAAAAAATGCTGCTATAGCAGCTTCGCCTTGAATTTTGGGCGGTTTTCAGCGAGCCTATAGACTATGTAGTCGGGCTATTGTTGAATCCATTGTAGTACGATTGTCGTGACAGTGCCCACTTTAGAAGGCTTAAATAATTGAATATGTTTTGACCTTGAATACTACATTGACACACTGAAAATTCGCTTATGCTAATGAAAACAAGAATAAATTTCGTACATATATTTTTTTATTATTTTTTATATCTTTTCATATATGTATTGTATATGCACGTATGTACATACATACATATGTACATATATAACTACTGACTTTTTCGTTTTTTATTGTATGATTTCTCATTTTCATAGTACGACAATCTTTGAATCCTCTTGACGCAGAGTTAAATTTCCGCGCATGCGTGTGTCTGTTTGTATGAATTGTGTTTATAAGCAAATTATTTTTATACTTATTTTAGTCAAACTTTTTGAATGAATTCATTTGGAGAAACTCGTAGTAAATTTTAACTTTTTTCATCATTACAATTATTATATAGCAAAAAAACATTGTGCAAAACATTTCGCAGCTAAAGTGACGCAGCAACGGGTGTTCCAAATACTGTGCCATACAATCTCTTTCCTGTTCGCAAATTTTCTTATTTCACTAAATATTCAATGGCATAGTACAACGTGGCGCTGAGTAAATTTATTTGAAAGCACATTGCATCTTAACGCTGCTGGCATAATTTGTTATAAGTATAATTTGCATAAATATCCACTTTGTTTGTTGAAACTACTTTAAATTTTTATTTATTTTTATTTTATTTTTCATTTAAATGTATGATCAATATTATAATTTCCCTTACTGAACTTACGAATATAATAAAGTGCAGAAATTGCAAATTTAAAGCAGAGCGTGAGCACGCGCTAACCTTTTTATTTAATGCAGTCGCTACTTTTACTATATTTACTTTTATAGTTACTCTTTTGTTTGTGAAAAAATGTCGATAGTTTTGCCCAACATACTTTCATTCCGTTTTTATGATTTTGCGGTTATATAAAAAAATTCTGCAGATTCATACTTTTGAAAAACTTTAATGACTTCATATTTTTTCAGTATTGTGTTCATTAGGTTCACAATAAAAATATTGTTTCAATATTTCCACTTACTGCATTTAAATTTTTTTCTCTTTCACAAATGGTACAAAACCTGAAGACTTTAAATTTGCAATTCACCGTATTAAAAAAATAAAATAAGCATAGTTGTCCAGTAAGAAAAACATGGTGAATGCTTGAATGAAAAAAGCTTAGTTTACAATATAAGTACGTGTGTAAGTGTAACGACACCCATTATTAATGAGACATTCAGGTAGGTTCTGCAACTCACTTCCGAGTGAGTTTCAACTCCTGCCAATTTTAATTTAAAACGAACTTAGCTCGAATTCACACGAAACTGAATTACAAAACATGCCTCATTGTATTTTAAAAAGCGTTTCAATAATAGCTAGTTGTAATTAGTTGCTATTAAAATGAATATATTTATTACTTTTAGAAGTCAAGGCAATCATGTATGAATGGATGTATTTCGAGTTTACATGTAAAGCTGAGAAACTGCGCCTACAAAAACAATTTTTCAGCAGCTGAGAGTTTAGACTTTCCAAAAACCGTAAATTTTTGAATGAATAATTAAAAAAATATTCTATGTATGTATTTAAGTATATTGCTATGCAACCAAAGATACCTTTTAAAGTCTTATTAGAATATAAAATCGTTACAATTGAACTGAGTTTTCACGAACACACAACGCCAGCCCTTTTAGTTGCTATTAAAAGTGGATAAAAATATGTTTAGAAGTAACTTAGTACATATGTATTTACATGTGTATTAGTAAATAAATGACCGAAGAGTAACTTCAAATCAATTACAAGTAAATATTGGAAATTGAAAGTTCACTGTATTTGAGCACGGTTTCAAAAGGCACAAATTCTTAGTACATTCAGCACTGCATTCATTAGCAAAATACATTTCCATGGAATTTCGCGCCAGGCAAAATTATGCTTTTGCTGTCCAAATATGACATTCTTTCTCAAGGATAAAAAAAAAAAAAAAAATAGAAATACCTCATTAAAGTGAAGACTAATGCTAAAAACCCCCAAAAACAAAGTAAGATTAAAACATTAGCAAGAAACAGAAATAAAAATAAAATAAAGAAAACAAGATAATGCAGAACGTAAGAACTATATGACCACATCCCAAACCAGAGTTCAAAAGCTTGGTTACCAAATTCTCTATGCCCAAAATATAACAAATAAAAAATCATAGAAAACATTGAAAACATACCTTCTTTTCGGGTAGCAACCAAAAGTGACTTTCGCACATTCTTTTCATTTTTCACAAGTATGTTGTATTTTATATAGCTTGTTTTTAGTTTTTTTTTGGTTTTTTTTTCCATTTAAATTTTCTTCATATTCTGTATGGTTTAAAATTATATTTTATATCATTAGTTTTCTTGTATTACAATTCATTATTATGGTTTTCATGTAAAATAAATAATTATTTTGTTTTCTCTAAATAGAAATGTTTAATCATTTTTGTATGCTTCTACATTCCTATAATTGTTGCTAAGCATTTGGCTCGCTTCAATGCATTTCAACTTTTCTAATCCCTTCTCTTTTCCAAATCCGCCACGGCACGCATGCTACTCCGCCGCAAATTCTTAAAAACTTATCCCCCCCTTCCACCTCTCAAACATCTTCTATCCTCTCGCACTTTATTTCTGGCTTGCATCATTCATTGGAAAATTGCAAATGGTTTTACTTTAAAATGTAGTAGTATTTGCAAATACATTAATCGCTTTATGAGTTAACAGCACTTGCCTGCGGCAATTGGCCGCCAATTGCATTGCCGCCGCCACCGCGAATGGCAATGTTGCCCTGTCCGGCGCGTATGGGCTTGGCGATTTGTGCCTGGGGACCACGGCGTCCGAGATGCTTTTGCCGCACCGCTTCCTTGATGCGATCCACTTCGTATTGGTAACGTTTGCGGTCGCGCATCGCACCTTCTTTCGCCTCCTTCAACGCCGATTCTAACGCCTTGACACGCTCCATGGTGGTGCGCAGACGCTTCTCCAGTTTTGGCAGTTCACAGCGCAAATCAGCATTGTCACGCACCAATTGCTTATGCACCTTTGTCAACTGGTCGAGATTGTTTTCGAGGAAGGAGATTTTCTGTTTTTGTGCCAAAGAGCAGCCATCCTCTTCGTTGTCTTCGTTGATCACGGTCTTCTTGATGCGCGCCTGCAGTGAAATGAGAAAATGAGTAGTTACACTTTGTATGAATTTGGGTGATTTCTGCCCTACACTTACCTGTAAATCTTGCACGAAAAGCTTCCTGAGGTTATGCAGCGTTTGCAGCTCCTTTGAAACGGTATCTTCGAGACCTTTCAAGTCCTTGCGTGCCTGCTCGCGTCTCTCGTTGGTTAAAATGATGTCCTGCAACTTGTTGGACTTGTCGGCTTCCTCCTGCTTCAATTTCTCGTAATCGGCTGTCATCTGCTGATGTGCCAAGATCAACTTCTGGTACACATCCTTCATTTCGTTCATCTCATGCTGCTTGGCCAGTATTTCGTCACGCAATTCGGATACCTGCTTGGTGTGCGCTTCACGCAGTTCATCCATTTGCGAGTCGAACATGGAACGCAGTTCCTCCGCCTTCTGTTTCTCTTCGGCATTTACAGCGGACACATGTTCGGCCGCCTTCAGCTTGGCGCATTCCTCACGCAGTGAATCAATTTGTTCCTCGAGTGCGCGCTTCTTGTTTTCGGCCTCGCGCATCGATTCTTGTAGCGACTTCATGCGCGCCTCATGCTGCGAGATCAATAAACGATATTCGCCCAGGTCTTTTTCATACTCGGACAGTTTTTTGTTCGAGTCCACCTGCTGCGTTTCCATGTTGACACAACGCTGTGCCATATTCTTGGCCTCCGTCTTCATTTTGCTAATATATAGACGCGCCATGGTGAAGTCTTCCTCGACTTTAGTCGAATCGCCCGCACCAGTGACGGTGTTCATCTTCATGTCGACGCCAGAGTCGCTAGCGGTTAATGCTTGACCGACTTCGGCGAGATCACGTAAAAGATTGGTCAGCATCTCATTGATGCGTTTCTTCTGATGTGATGACATGTCCTTCAATTGTTGCAGCTCTGACGTGGTCGTATTGAGCAGCGTTTGCTTTTGTTGTAATTCCTCATTCATGGAGTCAATATCCTTGTTCTTGGTATCAATCTCCTGCGACTTTTGATCGTAGTTAACAGCCAATTCTTCGAGCGCCTGCAACACTTCTTTCACCTCTTCCTTGGACGATTCGTTTTCCTGTTGGATGCGGGCCATCTCCGACTGAAGTGCCTCGTATTCGCGGCGTGCATTTGCAATTAGCTCTTCTTGTTCCAAAATCTGATCCTTCAGATTCTCCACATACTGACTTTGCTGGTTAATCTCTTCGTCCTTCTCATCCAGCTGCTGGTAGAGGCGTTCGCGCTCAGCCTCTAGACGTGCGCGCTCATCGCCGGTGATTGAGCCCACCATAAGGCCGGCCGCAGGAGTTGCAGGCACAGGACCAGCAGTATTCGCTGGAGCCTCCACTTCCAAATTGGGCGTACTTGCCTCCATGGGGTCATCCACAATGACCTGCTCTTCGGCGTTAACGGTTTCACCGGCGCGCCAACGAGCCAACTCCAGTTCCAACTTCTCAATCTTACCCTTAAGGCGTGCGTTCTTCTCCTTTTCCTTTTCATAACGTCGTTTCCACTCTTCAGCCGTAAGTTCCTCATTGACACAAACCACATTCTTAACGGTCTTGGCGCGGCGACCGAACTCCAACGTCGATTTGGTTTCAGCCTCATTAAAACTAGCTGGTGAGCAACAAATCACAATTGTGGTGCGTGCATTACCACCCAAAGATTCTTGCAAGATACGCGTTAATTTCGAATCACGATACGGTATGTGCGTCTTATTGCCGTCCGCCAGTGCGGAGATCACATTACCCAAGGCAGACAATGATTTGTTGATGTTTTTAGCTTCATCAAGTACAGTACCTTCGGCGCCAGTCTTGGATACCTTCTCCGAACCAGCCAAATCTACAAGGTACAATTTGCCGGAAAGTTTCTTTTGGTTCTCCAAGTTCTCTTGTTTCACGTTGATTAAAAATACTGAATGCGAACGCGAAGAATGTTCATTCATGTCTGAAAGAAAAATAACGAAGACAAAAAAGCAATTAAAAGCTTACAATTAGCTATAACGTTAGGCGTACTTACTTGTCACAGCAATGTGCCGATTTGATTTTCCTTCCTCGATCACCTCGAACACATCCTCGGGCGACGAGACGAAGCGCTCTGTAGCACCCTTTACATACGGCACACGATTCTTATCCTCGTGCACGCTCAGATTCACTTTCGAGACATCAAGCAAATCACGAATTTTATCCATATAGATTTCATAGTATGAGACCTTTATGTGAAACTCAAGGTTCATTTCCATTGTGTAGATGTGATTGAAGATATCGTTGACGATACGCGGTATGATACCTTGCTTCGCCGGATCACCGATAACACCCTCCATGGTGTGTGTCTTACCGGACGACGTCTGACCGTAGGCGAAAATCGTACCATTATAACCGGCCAGCACGTCTGTAACAATGGACTTGGCAGCCTCATTGTATACCTTCTCTTGGGATGCATTTGGCTTGAAGACTTTGTCGAACAAGTACACTTTGCCCTGTAGAATAGAATTGGAAATCACATTAAATATGGGTATGTATAGATAGAGAATGGCCCTTATTTCTAGTTTTTAAATTACACTCCAAAATAATTTTGAAATTCAATTTGTATGATAAAGATCTACAAAAATAATTTTTAAATGGTAATTTTTATAATACACTCACAAAGGCCGAAACATTACATATAGATATTGACAAGGAGATACAAATCTGAACCGATATTTGGAAGCATTAAAAGCGGTCAAAAGGCAACGTCAAAATTGGTCCTCGAGATCATCTTCAGACGTGAAAAAACTATTGCCGGTACAACCGTACTACACGAAGTTAAAAGGCGAAACACTCCCGGGTGCACACACATCAATAAATATTGAAAAGTATCCTTTGAAGCAGAATTTGGTAAAAGGACATCATCGTTTGCGCCAACTAGCAGAATTAACGGAGAAGTGTATGTTTAACGTAAAGTATTTGGAAAAAGGCGAACCACAGTGTTTGGCCAGATTCCAGCCTAACAAGCTAGATCCACCATTACCTTTCTTCAATGCAAAAATTTTGATTTTCTTCCAAAGGCAGTGAATACCCATAGTGTCGGCACATTGAGAGTAGGTATTGGACAATGGTTAAAAGCAAGCTAATGAAAAGGAAACTGCCAAAACGTTCAGAATTTCGGCCTAAAATTGAACTGGGCCACAAAGCAGATCAATGAGAGCATTGTCGAAAGGTTGATTAAGGTAAGGTGACCAGAATTTTTTAACGTTCCCGAAGGAAAAATTCTCCACATTGAAATCACAAAAAAAATTTTATATTTATTTTAACACTAAATAACGAATAAATTAACAATTCAAAAATTCTCTTATCACCAGTAAAACAAGTTAATAGTACGCTGCGTTGTATAATTATAAGACCGCTACATATTAACAAGTTTTGAATATTTATTTTTAACCAACTTAACAAAGAAGGTTATCAATTCATCGGAATATTTTTGTTTTTCTTGTATGTTACCGCATACATTCGACCACTTCCACTGATTTCGATAATTATTCTTCTATCGGAAAGGTAGTGTCTCACAGGTGGCCCCATATTAATTTGGTTTAGATCCGATCATTGGATTATGAAAAAATTAACGGTACTCCTAAATTTTTATATGAGAATTGAAGTCGGTTGTGTTTTTGCTTAAAAATTACTTTTTAAATTATTTAACTGTAATTGTATTACTTGCAAAAGAAATTGGTTTCGTTCTTCGTCTTTCGCGAAAGTTCGATTACAATTTTTTATCAATGCTATACCTCGTCCAACAATATATTAACATATTTAATACATTTAATCGTCTCTAAGACAACCAACTTCTGGGTAATTTTTTAGAGAGTTTAATGCCCTACAAGAATATGCTTAGAAAAACCTCTATCCCTCTTTCATAACTTTTCTTAACGGTTCAAAAGTTAAAATATTTTTTATGAAAACAAATTTATTTACTAGAAAATTTCATGTGTCAACCGAAAACTTTTAACTTGAAATAAAAATTTTTCCAAATGGGAGAATTTCTTTCTCAGTAAATAGGTCATTTTAAGGCCACAAATTCGTCAGGTTAGTTACTCTGGATCACCCTAATATATATATACAAGAATTACTCGTTTACAGTAATAAGAATTAGTGGCAAATTCCCCGGAAAACACACCCCAAAAAAAGTTTGGAGCCGCCGCTGGGCCTGTGTTATTTTTGATTATGTACTTGGACGTTAAATAACACATACAATGAAAAATCCCCACACGCAAATATTGCCACTGATAAAACTTATACGTGTTTGGCAAACAAAATGACATATGGTAGGCAATCTTCTTTCAGTGTTCAGTGTTCGCTGCTCCTATTACGATCGCGAATTACCCCATTCCCACGGGCACATTCTTAGTTCGATTTGACAGTTCTCTATCTCTGTTTGTTTTGTTTTTTTTTCTTCGCTACAAAATTAATGCACAATGTAAGTTATTGCTAAAATATTGTAAGGTTCCATATTAAATTGGTGATGTACACATGTATAAACTACAGCATCAACGATATATTTGTCTTAAGACTGCAAAGTTGAAGTAATTAGTCTTTTCCGTTATTCATTACTAATTAATCATTTCTGCAGTCTAGGCCGAGGCCACGCAGTGAGCGGCAAAGCGGCGAGCGGCTTAAGATTAAAATATATGAAATACTATTGAGGCGGTAACGCAATGAGCGCCATTTCTGAATGATGTATTGTGGAACGATTTTCCGTCATCCCTTGTCAAATTTGGTTTGGAGACAAACCGGTTTCGGCGTTGTGCCATCTTCAGTGTAATTTTTCGTTCTGAATAGTTCCTGTTTCCTTCCGCTTTTTATGTATTCGTGTTACTATCTGTTTTAACTGTCATTAGGTCATGCATACCCATCTAAGTGCGACCGCTTTTGTTTCATTATCTCACAGGTAGGTGCTTTTTGGTTGCTTGTATTCGCCGGCGGGTAGAAATCCGTTATTTTTATTTTCTTGGTTTTCGTGATTGCGTCGGTTTATGTTCCGTTATTTTATTTCTGAATGGTTGGCGGCGCCGCTCAGCAATAAAGGCCGAAATTCTAAAGCAATCTTTGCATGCACATTTTTATTGAACTATTTTTTGTCTTAGTCAGGACTAACGAAAAATTATTGCAATCACTTCTGACTTCAATCAAATTAATAATTTAGTTTAAAATGACTGCACTCCTTAACACCTCTGATTTCAAACCAAATTTATTAATAAATAAGTGCTCGTAAATTTTAAAATTAGTTTTAAATTTAAGTTTAATTCTTTGACTACACGCGTATGTTATAGTTTTTTGGTTCATGACGTTCATATCAGTAATGGGCAAAATTGTATTTACTAAATACTAAGTACAAAAGTATTTAGGTTTTTATTTGCAGTATTTCAGACTAGACTAGACTAGATGATAGTATTTATGAAAGGCGGACGTTGTGGTGTAGTGGTTAAAAGTGCGTTTCCGAACAATAACAAAAAGTAAAAGAAAATAAAACGGGTTTTCCAATAGCGGCCGGCCCTCGGCAGGCAATGGTAAACCTCCGAGTACATTTTTGCCATGAAACAACATCTTTCCAGAAGAATACAATCGCCGTTCGGAGTCGGCATAAGGCCGTAGGGTAGCGATGTCGTGCGAATTCGCACAAATAAAATTCGCTCTTACCGAAACCGCGGCCGAAAATCTAGAAATTTACAAATAAATAAAAAAAGTCTTGAAAAATTCTCCAAAGTACTTAAAAAAAATCTCAGAAAAGTAAAACACGAGAAATTTCAAGAAGTCCCGAAAGTAGCCGATAAAATAACGAAAAAATTGTGAAAAGTTTCGCAAATCACGAAACATTTCATTTTATTATCAACCCCTGAATAAAAAAAAGTAAAAGTTACCGAGCGTTTTTTATTTTCCCGAAGGAGAAGCTCGGCCAAACACTAACATATGTGTAAGCGCCAATCTATTATTATTATTATTATTATTTAGTATTCAGAAATAACTTAAATCACCTCTAAATACTATTTAGTGTCCAAACAAATACTTTGAATCTACTAGTAATTAAGTATGCCGAAAGCAAAGACGACAACTATTAAATTCTTCACATCTGCATTTAACGGTGGTACGGAATCAGCTTCATCACCAAAATTCGAATAGTTTCGGTGCACACTTTTCGTGTTAGTACTTTTACAAAATATGCTTAAATAAAAATATAAACGATGACCATCGCGCAAAAAAAATTTAAATTTTTGTATGGAATGTCCGTATAATGCTAGGCCCACATTGCTACCGATAAGCCGACCGATTTCGGCCGAACAATTTGACCGTCCGAACTGATGCGCACACTTAACCAGATTATTTGCCGACTGCATTTGTACGCACAAATCTAGTTTTCATTTCAATTTTGTAAGCAGTGACTCGGACGAGAAAAACAAACATGTTTAAATTTATCGGACGTCAATGGCCGAGGTCGGTTCGGTTATCGGTTTATATGTATGTGAGAACGCTCATATAATCACAAGTGTTAATTCATTTAGCCGATATCGGCCAAGCACCATTTGGCCAATGCCGGCTGCAGTGTGTGCGTAGCGTAATGAATAGAGTCCGACCGATAATCGGCATCGGCTAGTATCGGCACAAAATTGAGTATCGGCATCGGCATCGGCCTTTTTTCGCCGATTATTACAAAATTTTCTTTTATATGAAAGACGCTGGCAGCAAAAAAAACCTGCTAACTTAAGACCATATCTATTGTTTATAGTTTTAAGTTAAATGCCAATTGCTACGCCAACTTCACTGACCAGTAAACAATCCGCTTGATATCAACTAAAATAAAATAAATATCAACAGTTTCCTATCCATTCTCTCTCTGCGGAAGTGTACGTACGTGTAATCAACCAACCAAACCACCCACATATCTGTCAGTCACAAAAATGAAAGCAAAAGTTCAGGCATAAATTTTCATTAAATTCCAATGTGCACATGCCACGATGGCTTGTGTTTAGCACAAAGTAATTTTTTCGTTTTAGTCAACGAATGCATCCTGCTGACCTACATTTGAGCGAATTCTGAGTGCATACGAGCACATGGAATAATAAAGTAGGAACGGCAGCAGGCAGGCTTTTAGAATTTTGGATAAAGTCTTTAGACGACTATATATTTTTTTAAAATCATTTGGAAGTTCAGAGAATCCATAAAAAAGTGCATTGGTATATAAAAATTGTTTGTTTTAGTAAACGTGCTCATTAGGGCGATTGACTCGGTTTTTCCAAACCGGTTTTCACTGTTTGATTTTTAATTCTATAGGCGGTTTTTTTAAATCTTTTTTTATCGGAAAACCGGTTTTTTCATTTCATTCAAATCTTGACCCCTTAATTAAAATTTCGAGTTTTTCGAAGTTTTCAAGGCTTTTTCCAGTTTAAGGGAAAGTCCTAAATGGAGAGATCTGCACTCTTACTCCAGATCCGAAAAAGCTTTTATATGA